AGTTTATTTGGTCAAGCATGGCCTGAGTTTATGAAACACTGGAAGTAGTTCTGGATACAATATTTGTGTTATGTGTTACACAACTGCCATTCTTGGTTTTAAAAGTTTTCTTAGGCAAATGGATTTGATAAATGAATTATCCGTCCTGTATATTTTTCTCCTATTTTATTCTTGGACTATCTTGAATAGTATTGCATCGCTTTAAAGTTATCTGCCACTTCCCTATTGCTTTAGTTCCTCAAGTTATAGTATGCTGCAGAAGCACATTTCGCATTACTTTTTACTCAGGATAGTTGCTTCAAAAAGATGTGCAAGGAAGCAGTCTGACCTGGCAACAAGTCAGCTTTCTATAATTTACCCATTCTCAACGTAATTATATTACAGGCTGCAGCGCCTCATTTAGGTTTCTCCTGACAGTTATAAATGACTCGGAGCTCTGCTATTGATTGGGCAGCTGCGAACCCAATTTGAATATTTATTAACCTAATCCATTTTTTTATTATTTTTTTTATTGTTGCAGGCATAACTACAGGTTTATGTCCCCAGCCAAGAGCAATAACACATTTATTTAGAGCTGGCACATGTTTGTTTCTCAAGTTATGGCTAACATAATCACTATTTAAGTACGTTTATTACATTTTAAACATCTTACGTTTTCCACATGGCATAGCCTTGGGTGGTTATTGTAATTGGATGTTTTCTTTCTGTACTGTATGTGTGGTATACAGTCAGCGACTTTCTTGCCAACTAGATCAATTCATTGTAGACCTTTCAGTGCAGCTAAACATTTCTACCAGGGTTTCTTTAAAGAGAGAAATGTCTGTGCTGAAGATGGCTAAAGTGGTCCATTTGCAGCCTGACTGATCTCATGTTTAGACGTTCCTCTCCGAGTGTTCTCCTCTGGACCGGGGCCAGCGGGAAAATCTGGGACTGCATCCAGATCCAAACTGAGAGGGGCTGTAATCAGTGTAACAGATCAGTGCAGATTTTCATCATGAATATTTTGCAATATTAAGTCTCAACTGCTGTCACGGTAGACATTTAGGATCGTATATAAAACCAGACATTACTTGGCTGTGGTTTGAGACCCACAATTCAACATTAATCATGTGTACAGATATTTCAATGTTTGGTCAGGCGGACTTTATTCACAACGGTCAGTGTAAAGTCACATTTTCAAACATGTTTCGAAACCAAGCAGCATTATCATTTGGCAGCACTGTTATCTGCAGTAAATAAGGGTTAATTTATCATGACAACCAGGTCTGTACTCAGCTCTCCCTGCTGACTGGTTACGAAATTAGAGGAATGTTAGTTTCTCAAATGTTCCCTTATTAAACACTGCGGTGGTGTATGTTATACTTACTTGATAAGGCAGGTTTGTAGTGAAACCTACTTGCTGAGCACCAATTTCTGTTCAAGCTTATAGGAAGTCAGTGTTTCACAAACAGATTGGTGGGTCGAGTTTCACTTTAAGTATATAATAGGCGCATTCACACCGCAGTACTTTTCCCACAAAGGTTCATGAGAACTTAGTTCATCAACTAAGTACAGATCGCGTTCACACCGGAATAAGTTCCTGGGGAAGGATTAGTCAAATGAAGCCGCTGACGTCACTTCTTCTTCTTCTGCTTTGGGTTTACTGGCAGGCCGCAAACAACTTCACGGCGTATACTGCCACTCGAAGGCCCGGCCAGAAGTCCCCGGAGTTGGGGACTGGCTTCAGTAGAAGCTGCTGGGACTCCCAGCAGCTTCTACTGAAGCCTTCCGAGTAAATCGCCAGAACGCCGACACCTCCTCATCTCCACCGCTCACATGTTTTCTTTTGTTTTGCCATAAGTTAGTCTCTCTGCGTTTGTGCGCTGGGCTAATGCTAATGCTAATAATGCTAATGCCAGGATAATAAAATGGCGGCTTCACAAAACGTTTTGGGAGTTTTACGGGGCGTGGTTTGCAATCCGCCCAGCCAATCAGACATAGGAACCTTTTTCTCCCACGAAAGTACCTGCTCTCTAGCAGGGACGGAAAAGGGGGTAAAAAAGGTTCTTATGAACAAATTTTAGTTCCGGCTCTTTTTGGTGTGAACGCGACATTTCGGAACTATATCGGAACTAAAGTGGGAAAAGTACTGCGGTGTGAACGCGGTTAATGGTTTCCCAATTGATCGTAAGAAACTGTTGTTAAATTCTGTTGTACCTCGCAAATCAATGCCTCTTTTTTTGTTAGAAATTAGAAATCAGTGATCACAGGAGAATTGAGCCTCAGG